CTTAGCCCGCTTGGCCAACTGTGCAACTGATAGGGATAGAATATATTAACACTAATAAGCCGAGTGCTCGAGTCGGAAAGTAAGTAGACGGTACGCATGCGCAAACAGCGTAGTTGTCTCACTTGCTCTCACACAGAGGCTGTGTGAGGAAATTATTTAATCCTGGCGATCCTAATCAGGATAATGAGATAAATTTATGAAATTATTATATTGTCGCTGATTCTTGATAAGTGTACAAAGTTTGAATTAAATCTGTACGTTTAAAGTGGGTCAAAATCGAGTCCAAAGGAGTCGGTTACAAACATACATACATACAAACATACAGGTGAAGCTAATAAAAGGGTGTAAAAAGATGAAGTTGCAAACCCACAGTCTTGCGTTCTTGTTAAATTGTTTCCGCGTTGAAAATGTTAGCACGCTGATAGGTTAGATATTTATTGTTTTATTTTCTTGATTATTGATTGATTACACAGTTCGAAAAATTTTAACTTTTTTTGCCACCTGAGTTCATCGATTTTTGTAGATTTTTCGGTGCTGAACCCAAATCTGGCTGCAGAATTTCTCTACCACGTCAGAATTTTGAGATATCCTTACCTCTAAGTGTAAAAACACGGTTTATTATAAAACAACAAATTTTTTTGCTCATTTCTACTTAGGGTATTATTACTCTTCCCCTTCAAAATTTAATTTCGTTTGTTGCGATTCGATTGTGATATACCAGTTTTAATGTGCAGTACTTCGGTATTACTTCGTAAGCATGAAGGTGTATCAAAGTATCTTTTGATTAAAAAAAAAATTTAGTGCTTTTAGTGCGGTAAAATGCTCTTTTTTCCAAGGTTTGGTGCTTTTTGAAACTCAAAAGTTGGCAACACTGGTGGGCGGGTCGTCTGCATATTTGTTTACATTTTTAATGGCACAGCGTGTAACCTTCAGATAATTAAAATGCCAAGCGATTTTATTTGGTTTATTTACTTACATATGCATACATACATACATAAATGTTCATACGTATGTAAACAAAGTACATCGCATGAATGTTGACTGCCCCTTTGCTTATGGCGAATCTGAATTTTGGAAATGGGTCAGAACTCATGAAATTAATTATATTATCTTTTATTTGACATGATTCCAATTGGAACCTAATCTGAAAAATCGCTTGACTTAATATGGAATGCTGAAATTGTATAGAACGTTTGTCAGGAGATACTCACGAATTCCACTGTGAAGAAGAGCAATCAAATATTGATGCTAGTATGAAAGTTAATCTCCTAAAGCATCGGTTCCCGAACGGTGGATCGCGGGTAGGTCGCGAATCGATCCTAAAACTACCAGAAACAATTGAATAAACCATCAGATAAGATCATAATGACATTGGCGTGTTAGTTCAATTGAAACAGTCCCTATTATCTCATTAATGTCCTATTCTTACTTAAAAACCGCAACTTTACATATTGATAGATTGTGATAACAACTTGCTAAACTGTAACACCGCGTGACCTTAAATTGTACACACAAAAAAAATTATATATTCGCGAAACTAAGGGCCAAAAATATTGACACTACGTTTTTTGTTTTTTCTATGACGTCAGGACTTTTCTTAAGAGGACTTTGAAATTTTAAAGATATGATTACTTCAAAAAATTATTCAAAAGCTCAGTGCAATGTAAAATAATAATGTGGGTATCATATAAAAGAGAATTATCTATAGAATTAAAAAAGTTTAAACGAATAGATATTGAAATTATCCTTTTCAAATTCTATTCTTGAATATCCTTGAAAATTTTGCAGTAAGTATTTTTGAAGAAAATTCATGTTAAGGACTAAGACAAGATCATATCCTCGAATTTCGCCATGCCAACTTTATTGGTGAAGCGAGAGACTTAATTTTGTTCAGTTCTACAGAATTTTCTCTTTCATTTGCTAACCATATTACTAATCCACATTGCGCTGAATTTTTTTTTTTTAATAATTTTTAAAGTAATCATATTTTTGAAAATCCTTTTAAAAAATCCTGACGTCAGAGAGATAAACTAAAACCGCAGTTTCACTAAATCTTAGCTTTAAAATAGCTTCGTGAGTATATTGATTGTTTCGTGTGTTTTGAAGTATATTGGTTTTTGTCGCACGGTGTGATCATATTCAAACTGTATGAAATTGTTTGCTTAGTATTATTTCTGCAACTTTCTCTTTTACTCCACCATGGATCGATAGACCGTGGAGGTATTAACTTAAGGAAAGGTGGGTCGCCAATTGGAAAAGGTTGGCAATCACTGTCCTAAAGCATTCAGAATCGGTTTAATCATTTAAGTTTGGGTGTAGGAGCAGTAACAGGTAATAACAAGAAATTGAGGACTTTTAAAAAATCACAACTTTTTTTAACCGACTTCAAAAAAAGGAGAATGTTATCAATTCGTGGAAATAATTTTTTTAATGTACATATATTACCTCATAAGTTTGGACCACGTTAACCGATTTCTATAATTCTTTTTTAAAGGAAAGTTGGTACCTCAGAGGTAGTCTCATACTAATTTGACTTAGAGCCATGAAGAAATTAACGGTACTCTTAAATTTTTATATGAGAATTAAAGTCAGTTTTGTTTTTTGCATAAAAATTACTTGTTTTATTTTATTTTTTACAAAGAAAGCTTATAACAAAATCGTTTGATATCTATAAGTTTTCTTACATTAATATGTATTCGAAAAAGGTGCTTGAGCAGCCCGAAGCCGCAGCTTCCTTAGAATACCATCCATGATTTTATTTTTGACGTTTTTTTTAATTCTAACATATGTAGTTAAAGTATTTATCAATTGGCGCGGGTAGATGTTGGCGGTCTAAGTCATCCAGGCTATTTTGACGTCGTCTGTGTAATCTGTTGTTTATTACTCAGTCACTGATGCCAAATGATTATCTAGCTGCTCGCCCAAACGACAAAATTTGATTATCAAAAGGAGTGCTCGTTAGTGAACCCCTTCCTAATCAATACCCATAGGTCGAAGGAACGCCATATCGGCTGAGGACATCGCTTTGGTCCGTGAAAGTGTATAGGAAAGCCCGAGGCAGCCCATTCCCAGACTTGGCCCAAATTTACTTAACGATGTGAACACATACTGCATGAACGATTTATACCCTTATATTGTGTTTCCTGAAGTCGTAGATCTATGCCAATAAACCGTAATCGACCGATCGTTCAGATTTAGGCAGAAAGTCATTGAAAATTAGACGACTCAGATCCATGCTAACGTGAGAAGTCGAGGTGAACATTTAAACGATCTTATATTCCATACATACTGGACTGCATTTGACTCTGTTCACGTCATTATAAAATTCATACACTTTATCATTCCATCTTCTTATATACCCATACCATAGATTGTAAGTAGAATTGTTAGCTTTTTCTGCGATATCGTCCATTTTCCTGCTAGATCATAAATAATCAAAGTCCTTTTTCCACTATAAAGTTATAACTGCCTAGCAAAACGCCATTGTACTCATATACCATTCCATGAACTTGTTTTTTGTTATTTTCTGGTCAAATTTTTCAATATTCCTAATTAATTGTAAAACGTGGCTACAGTTGCAACACTGGCAGTTGAACCGAAGATATACTCATGCAGAAGTTCTGCATGCGAAACCAAGTTTAAGTGGATTTTACTCGTTTTGGAAAGCCCTTAATTATCTTGAGAGTTGAAAACTGACCGAGATAAATTTATTGTCGAGCACGCCTAGTATAATTTACAAATTACTCCTCTCCTTTTGTTTTTAGTTGTTATAAAACTTTACTGAATCTTAATCGCAGATGTTTTCTAATTGCGGGAAAATTATTCTTGCGTGATTACTTATTTATGACCCACTTTTATACTTTGTTGATATTTGCAAATAAACACTCGATTTTACAATTTTCAAATTTAGGTACATAGTTCCTATTTATTTTCATCTTTTTAGCATAGAATATCCATAAAGATAATTAAATATTTACATCTGTATATTAAAACAATACCATCATGCATAAATGTAAATAATATACTTAAATATAAATATATACCTTAATATAGAAAGGACCTAACTCATTTGCTTTCGAAATATGGCTTTGTACAAATGTCGGTACATTAGTCACTAAAAATTTAATCGGATTTTAAGTCTTAACTGCGTCAAAAAAAATTGTTTCTGTGTTTATAAAAAATCAATGTAATGAAGAAAATGGTAACTGGCGAACATTAGTTTCTATAAAGGTTTATAACTACTCTGTATGTAAAGAAACAAACAGATTCGAAAGGCCCTATTCTATATTAGGGCAACGATATGTATTTATTGTGACTCTCTCTAATCAACATTAAGTCGCTTGCTAAGCTTCAAAACAATGCTTATATATACATGTATGACTACATATTTTTTGGCATTTTCTTTTAAATTTACTAGCCTAAATTATATTTTGAGCTGTAAATTAAAAAATTAAAAGTTTAAATAGTATTTAAAAATGCAACTACATTTGAATACAGTTTTTGTGATAATGAAGCACTTTTCATAAAGTTTTTTTTTACAAATCGGAGGGTAAATTTTTAGCTGTTAGTAATATTTCACAGATTTAAATAAATATGGCCCCGATTTCCGGCTGGCAATGTCTTAATCTAATGCCAAGTAGAGAAAATATTGTATTAACTGGAATTGCGTAGCGCCAACTCGGCTTGTTTATACCCAATAAAAAATAGGTTCATCCAAAAATTAATCTTAGATCGCTCTTTGGCGATTATTGGATTACTCCACAAATATCCATACCTCATGCATTTCATAGTACTTTTTAGCGTTGCATATCGACTGCTGAGTGGATGATCGATCTATCTCGGCAGCCAGCTCGAAAACGCTCTGTCTTAAAAAAAACTTTTCAGAATTCGTTTCAAACACGCCCTATATCAGTACATTTTCAATACATTTTGAAGTGAGATAGGGCGTTCTTCAACCAAATTCTGAGATACATAGGTTGTTTTTCAATAAAATTCTGAAATAGGGCGTTCTTGAAAAGTTTTTTGAGATAGGGCGTTTTCGAACTGGCTGCCGAGATAGGTCGATCTTCCACTCAGCGTCGATATCCTTACGGGCGAGCACTTCTTTTGAGCGCCTAAAAGAGGCTAAAGAGAGTATTCTTTTGAGCTTCTCTTGACCTCCGAAACGAGGTCAATCTTCGCATATTCCTTAGCTCGTTTATTACGCCAAAACGTATCAAAAAGCGAGGAATCAATAAAGTTTTTGGAAAAACTACAAAAAATGCCTTGATTGCTCGTTTACTGCTCCGAATGGATTGTGACTCATTTATTGCCCGATTTTGATATTAAGTAATCCATACATTATTTTTTTAATGGGTGCGTGCTCTCCATGGTCTACACAGTTATATGTATGTGTGTACATAAACGTCGCTTTGCCGCTCTAAATTCAATTGACTGCATACCATGTCGTACGATTATTCGCCACCTCCGATTCAGCCTCTGGCTTCGGCAATACCCAAATATTACCGATGCCACTGTCCGAACTGAAGCGATTCGAATCGCGGAACAGTGACAAGCTTACCGGCTTTCTATACTGCTGCTCGCCCTCACGCGCATAGCGATCTTGCAACTTTTGACGCTCCTCCATCACAAATGAACTGATCATGTCGCGTATCAACTCCAACCATAGCTCGATCACCTGCGGTTCAGCATGGAAATCGCATTCCTGTTGCTTGCGACGCTCATAGAAGAGTGTAAAATGTTTCGTCTTTGCCAATATGCCAATGTGTTCGCAGGGATAGCGACCGTGGAAGATCAGATGTTTACCCTTGATTTCGGTGTAGATGATGCACTTGTCGAAGATGAAGACTTTGCCGCGATAGCTGCGTCTGAGCGTGTGATCCGTCACCGAGAAGTCGCTGACCTTGCGGAATTTGCCCTGATGAAAGACGTTGAACTAAATTGCGGAATAAGGGGAGGCAATAAAAAGAAGGGCGTTAAAAGCTATTTGTAGATACGAGTGAAAATCGGCTAACTAATTACTAACCTCATTGCACTCGATTATGTCGTTAATTACTTCCGATTCGTTGGTTGTGGTGAGCAGTGTGCGCATTTTCTTCTCCAGCCGACAGCAGGACTCAAGCAGTGGCTTGATTTCGAAGTCGCGGTGCTTGAAGAGGGTCTGAAAGGAAACAGAGAGAGGAAAAGAGACTAGAATATGGTCGACATATGAAGAGTCAAAAAGTTAAATTTGAAGCCATTCAAATCTATCTTTTGTTCAATTTGTTATACAAAAATATTTTATTTTAAAAAATAATTTTTTATTTATACCGAACTCACACCCTATATCTAATATACCGAAACTATTTTTTTTTTTCTTACAGTTCTCTCCTCAAACTCACCGTGATAAATTGTTGCAGCAGCAGTGGATATCGAGCCATTCGCTGTATGGGCTGGACCAGGAAGCTATTAATGCCCAACTTGTCATCCAATTCGTTTTGTATGCGCTGAAAGGGATTGATTTTGAATTAAATATGTTTTTGGCTTAAAAATTGCATTTTTTATACGAATGCTCTCTTGATCCTCACCTTAAAATAATTTTTATAGGTATCACATAATTTGAGCGAGCGTTGTTTGTTCATTGTAAATATGACGTAGCAATAGAACAAATTTTTCTGTAAAAA